AAGGCAATACGTTGTTAATAATTCTAGATAATAATTCTAGTTTATTCCACTTCTGAAATGTTAGCAATTAATTAGTTCCTTTATTAAAAACAAATTCCGTCAAACATTAATTGTTAGATACTTGCTTTATTCAGAAACATTACCGTCAACATTACTGCTCAAAAACATTACAGTTCAAATTATTATCATTCTGAATAAAAACTGTTGTTGCCAATCGGGAAAATACATTTTAAATAAAAATACGTTGCGTTTAAAAGAACTAAACTACTTAAAAGCAGTTTCTATTGACAACAGAAACAGTTTATAGTTTATAAACTGTTTCTGTTGTTATAGGCTTTTCACCTAACATTATTAACTAAATGGTTAAAAAATTCTCCTCTCAACACATCAGAAAGCACTGTCTATCTTTAGGACCTATATGTAACAATTATATTATAATTCCTTTCTTTCCATTGACTATCAATAAAATTGCATGTATTTTACAGAAATTCAGTTTCCGGGTCATTTTTTTTCTCTGTAAATAAATCCGTAGCTCCATACCTAATGACCTCACTCCAGAAATGAGCTCCTGAGGTATATATACAGGATTCCTTGCCAATGTGGTTTAATTTACGTTTGTCAAATTAGGAGAGTCTTAATTCTTTCAAGATGGGCGCCCATTAACCGAACCGCTCTTTTGGAACACTGCAGTGACAAGATGCACTGTATTGTTGAGATGGGCAATCTACATTGCTGAGCCTAACTTTGGAAAAAAATTTGCATAAATTAAATTTGTAATCCTATTGTTGCATTTTTTTGGCGCATTATGAGAGGAATATTCAGGCAAAATTGATTTGAAAATTTTATCATTATACTTTTCATGAAATTTGAATTATAAAAATGTTTTACTAAACAATACACTAAATATTTGCCTCAGTGTTAGCCAGACTCTAAGAGAAATGAATAAAACTTCTAAAACAATAGGACATATATTCCCATATAAAAAAAAAAGGGGGGAAAGAGTTCAGAAGCTTGGAGAACATTTCCATACGTTTACATCAGATGATGCAGTTAAGAGTCAGCTCTGTTTATTTACCTTACTCAGTTCACAATTTCTGCTTTGATTCCGAACCAAAATAAACAAAAATACCACAAATACACTGCAACAGAATGAAGGTCAGCATTCTCCACTCATGATAAATTCCACTATAACAGGCTATAATAGCCATTATAATAGTTTCTTTACTGCTGAAATGCAGGTCAGGGTTTTTAAGACGGTTATTCATCAATACATGTTTAATGCATCCATAATATTTATATATTTTGCTTTTATCTAATTAATTAATATTAAAAACTGCATTGTAATGTTTATCTTCCTTATAACTTCAATTTCCATTTTATTTTTTACTATTGCAACAGAAACAAGCATTTGGAGTTTTTTATAGTCTCATTTAAATCAAAATAAGCAGGAATGATATGGTTTTTAAAGACCATTGCATTTTCTATTTAATTTTTAAAGCAGAAAATAAAATTAGCTTTCATTTTAAGAAAACGCCCCAACCGGCCGAGCGGTAAAGTCGCTGAACACTGGGTAGTTCGGTCCGAGGTTCGAATTCCGCGAACGGGCTGGCTGCATGGGCGTTTTCGTGGTTTTCCCCATGTGTAACGTGTATACGAGCCAGTTTTCCTTAGAAAGTCCTCCACAAAGGCATCCCTCCCCTTAGGCAGATAGCCCTAGTGTGCTTTTCCATAATTAAATACACCAACACCAATACACCATTTTAAGAAAAAAAAAGTTAAAAATATGAGTGCATATTATTATCATATTATAATCATTCTGTAAAACAGAGCCTTGATTTTCTTAATGGACTAGGACTAGACTGAGATATTAATTTATATTTTTCAACAAAGCAAAAGAATAAAAATCTGATGTCGAATATAAATGTGCTTAATTGTTAATTTTTTCATATTAAAATTTGGTTTATTTCTACTTGATAGTCCTCCTTCCTCCCCCCTTTTTTTGAGTAGTTGATAATTTTTAACTGATATTTTTTATTTAGTTAATTGAAAGCCTTGCAGTTTAGATGTTGCAATTCAGAATAAGGCTGTCAAAAGATAGGTGTTTTTTTTTGGGGGGATATATACTTGAAACTAAAACAGATAAATCATCTAAGGAAAAGAAATTAATTGAAGTAGAAGGAGTGGATGCAAGACAGAATAGGTGAATATGGAAACAGTGATAATAAGATTCTGAGAGATCAGAAACTAAATTATTGTTTATTAGGTAACATATATTTTGCTCATTACAGCTGCATTTTATTTCTAGATTGTCATCAATAACTTATTCAATGTCCATCAAGCAAGCGTTAATAACTTTAGTTGATCAATTTTTGGATAATAGTAGACAACAAATTTCATCTTCTTTAGAGAAAGCGACTATTAGTTTATCATGTTTTTGCTTTTGTAACTTTAGTGATGATATTTTCAAACTTGTTTTGTTTTATTAAGAAATTGGGTAACTGTTAGTGAACACAATGATATAAAAGGCATAATATTTTAACAAATGAATTTATATATTTACAATAGATAATATTAATATTTTAATTAATTTTTTAATATTCAAATAGCACAGTTTTGAATATTAAAAAAGTTTATCATTAGCATTATTTTTAGCAACAAGTGGAGAAATTCATTTAAAAATTCTTTAGATTTTATACTAAATAGCTTTCAAGTTCTAGATCTTAAATGCTGTTCTTCATATTTTACTGAACGGACCTTGAAAGCAATATTTAAACTCAATAGCGAAGCATTCACTTAGTTCTTCTAAATATGCACTTCTTGAATATGCACCCTTTGAACTTTTAAAGCATTGAGAATATGCATTCTGACAAATAATTTGCAGCCCATTTTTGTTATAATTTATAGGTAGTTGTTTGACAATTTCCAGGCCCACCAGTGGCCAAGAAGTAAAGTCACTGAACACTGGTTGTTTGAACCCCAGCAAATAGGCGGGTTGCATTAGTGTTTTTGTGGGTTTCACCATGTATAATATAATATGAGTCAGTTAACATAAAAAAATCCCCCATATCCCAGATACCCATTTTAGTCATAGAAAATATTTTAGGGAATGTCTTATACTTCAGGATCTTCATTTTATGAAGTTCAGCTTCTGTTCTAATATCTGCTGCAGATAGCATACAGAAGAAATCTTAGAAGCTTTCAAAAGCAAATTAATTCTCTATATCTAAAATTTTTATGCCAATTTTATATCTGGAATGTGATAAAATGCCATTAATCCCTATCTGATGTTCAGCAGTACCTTCTGAGAACTTCATACCAATGTCACTAGATACTGAAATCCTCTGTAGAATTGAGTATGGTTTTATTCTGTTTTGCATTAATGTGTTTTAGTGCTTTGACTTCTTTGTTGTCCTAAAAGCAGTGTTAGCCAGTGCTTAAATTGCGCCGGTACTTCTCAATTTTTAAGATAAATTACAATTCTTCTAGTCGGAGCGCACCGGAGCCCCTAATAAGATGAGCTCCGGTACTTCTTTTTATAAAAACTGAACCACAATTTAAAGGGAAAAAATTTAGAATTCCTAACGTTTTAGTTTAACAAAAAGCAGACCTTGCAATACTCCGTTTCTCTAGAAATACGAACTCGTGAGAACATGTGATGTTCAAGTAAAGTCCCCACACTCACATGCGGAAAGCTTTCCCTTTAAGAAGGGCAATAAATTTGAGAAAGTTTGTTTAGGAACGCGTAAATTTCTCGCCGTGCCATCGTATCTAGTGTATTGTTGTCGATGGTTAGTTATCCTTGCAGGAAGGAAAATTTGTGTTCTTAAATGAGCGTTAAGAGACAGCGAATACAATAAGAGTGAAATACTGAGATAAACTGCTCAAGCACTTACTATACATCGTCTTTCCACAATATCCATTAATAGGGGGAAAGCATAACCATCAAATTTACATTCATCCTTAGGAGTCGGATTCAGAACTCATTTTGCCCCTGACACACATCTGCTCGATGGCTATATCAGCAGAGAGCCGTGGTCAAAGAGAACGTTTTCTCTCGCCAAGATTCCCCTCATTTCTTGTTTCCACCCACTCATACCCTCATTCTGTTTCGCCCTGGAATTTTCATCAGCTGTACTTTAAATAATTTAATTTTTGTGATGATAAAAGAACTCCCCTGCGATCAGAGCTTAAACTGGGCCGGAGCTCACCGGATCTCGGCTCTGGTGCTTCTTAGTTTTTGTACTAAATCCTAATTCTAGCCGAAACGCACCGGAGCCCTGAATAAGAAGGCTGCGGCACTTCTTTCATGTAATTGAATAACAAATTCAGTAGAAATTTTTATTTTAACAATAAATTATATTAAAAATCGCTTATGAATTTAATTTATCTCTTTGCATTTTTTTATTTTAAAAATTTATTTCAATAAATTAATTCTCTTTAAATTATAATTAATTAATTCTAATAATTATTGATTAAATACAATTTATAAACATTAATTAATGCTATTAATATTTGATAATGATTATTTAATTTAATTTTTAAATTATTAATGATTTTTAATAGTCATTTTATTTTTTATTTACTCTTGTTCCTCTTTTGCTGCGTCTTCCATAGGTTCCGACACTTCTAATCTAGAAATTAAGCCTGGTGTTAGAGAAAATATTGCAAGCCAGCTAAAATCATGTTAAGATTGCAGCATTTGAACGTAATTTTTATCTATGTAATATTATAATAATTTTACTGATGCCATATGCTTAATCGAAAATTCATATAAATTAGATGCAATGCTGCCTTAAAAATTCAATTAAAATTAAAATTAGTTTCTAATTGCATGTTATGCTTATAATTTAATTGTTTCCAAAGATTGTTTTAATATATATATATATATGTATTTAATATATATATTACAGTTGCAGAAGTGAGAAATTACTTAATAAAACTATTTTATTTATAATTTTTAAAGCTGTTTTGAGCATCAAATTCTGCTATTTCTTTTAGCACTGAAAATGAAGCTTCTAACCAAAACTTGAAGTGTGCCAAGATGGACTTTAATGTTAATGAAATAACTACAGATGCTCCATCAAATATGTTATCTTGTATTTTAGGTGAGGATAGACCAATAACAGTTGATGAAGCTTGTGTAAGCATCTTATTATGTGAACTCTTTAAATGAACTTTTTCAATATATTTTAATATTTTTGCATCTTTTCCTCTTTCACATTTATACTTAATGCATGAGCTCAAGATAAGCATAACATTTATCATCCAGGCAGTGATGAGATCTCACCTAAAAGCAATGTTATTCTTTTATAAAACTCTGAGATATGTTCACGCCCAAATCGTCATAATTTAAAATGATGAGATGAAAAATAAGTATAACTTTTAAGTTTCTTTTCCTAAAGAAACTGTAGCCTGCATTTTTGAAGATTATAGTATGAGCATTGTTAAGGTAATCATTAATGTCGTTGCAGCGTTTCTGTGTAACTTATTACAGAAATGTAATAGCTATTTTACTTCAGATATATTAAGGATATATTTTTATTTAAGGATTTGAGACTTCTGTTATTTGGAAATACAGTTGATACATTTGGCACAGAATGGACTGAACAATCTTTCCACTTCAGAAGACGTCCTTTATCATATGGACTCAGACAGAAAAAAGTAATTTTAACTACCTCTCAGTGCTAATTTTGAAATCCCTTTGTAATTCTAAAATAGATTTAATTTAATGATTAGAATTCATTTTCTTGTTCTAAAATCTAAAAAGGGAAAAAAACGTTTAAGCTATTCTTTTTGTATTTTTTACAAAATATTTAAATTTCATCCTATGTATTACAGTATTAGAAAATTTCATCCTATGTATTACAGTATTAGATAGCTATGAAATTCATCAGAAAATTTAAAAAACTGATTATGGTTAAATGTTTGTGAGTCTTAATTCTCTAAATTTTAATTAATTTTATATCTTAGCATTTAGCATTTTATATCTTAGCATCATGCATCTGATTTTTAAAAGTTGTGTCTTACTTCTGTTTTCTGTTAATTCTGAAACCCAGATTAAAATTAGATTGTCATGTGTTTTTCTTCCCTCCCCCCTCAAATATTTGATTTTCTACTAAATGTTTAATCTCCTCCTAACCCTGTTATGCATAGTTAATGCAGAAATATGCTATAAATACAAATGTGTGCTAATGAATTAACCGAAACATGACTGCATTATTTCAATTTTTTTAAGTTGATTTTCATATATACTATTTTTTAAGATGTTTTTTGTCCTCCTTCCTCTTTTACTTGGATGAAGGTCAAAATTTGTTGAAAATGGTAACAGTAAATTATTGTTCATCTATAATTTTACTGCAATAATTTAAAATGTTCAGGAAATATTTTAGAGAATAATTATGTAATTTTTTAACCAGTTTTGAGCATTCAGTAGTTGAAGATATAACAGTAAATTACTTTCCATCAATAATTTTCACTATAGTATTTAAAATTTTTATAAAGTAGTTAGAATAATTACGTATTTTTCTAAAAAGTTTTGAGCTTTATTTTGCTTAATTAAGGTAAATAAAATTCTGAACATAGCATTCATGTTCATATTATTTATATGTATAGGTTTCCAGTAATCCATATAAAATAAATTTTGCCTTATTATAAAAAATTATAATTCTGAGATATTTTGCAGCCTGGTCCATGTGGAGTACTTGCTGCTGTTCAGGCTCATGTTTTATATGAGCTGCTGTTCGGTTCTGCTGCTGTAACCTTAGATTCAGGACTGTAAGTAAATAAATATTTATAGATTTGATTCTATTAGAAACTAAATCAGTTTAATACTAAATACGCTGATTTTTACATTTTTATGTATTTTTGCTCATTTCAAGACTTTTAGAAATTATATGAAAGAAAAGTAATATTACATTTTTTAAAAACATGGCAAAATTTGTCATAAAATAATTTTATTTTTACTCTATTTACAGTTGACATTATACTTAAGGTAATCCCGTAACTTAACTATTTTAAATAATCATTTATTCTCAAAAATGCTTATAAAATAGAGGAAAAAGAATTAACAAGCTTGTAACTCATTTCATCTACCAAGAAAGGTATTGTGAAGTTTGTGACATCTGTGGTTTTTTAAAAGCATTCTTTTATAGCTAAGTAAAAATAAGATAATAGTGCTTAGTCATGATTTTTACTAAAAATTTACATTAAAATAAAGGTAATTATATAAACAATTATACATCTTATGCATCATTTTTATTACTTTCAGTACCAGCTGTACATTTTTGTATTCTAATATTTCTTTTTTATTTGCAAGTAAGCCTAGATGTTGAAGAATAATTCTGCATGCAAAAGACTTACAAAATAATTGTTTTGCAATTTTCTTTATTGTCATAAGATGGTATTATATAGCAAGTCTTTAATATGGATTTGAGAAATAAAATATACAATTTATAGGAATTTTACCTTCAAATTCTGCTGTATAAAGTAACTTTGTATGAGCATTGTTATAGTATCTACCTATCACAACTTAAATTCTGTTAAGACCTCAAAATTTTGAACTCAAAATAAATACTAAAAATTTCAGTAAGTAGACTCTTTATTGACAGAAATTTATTTCATTTTCTGCATTTAATTTATTTAATTACTACTAGATGGGATACCCGGCTTAGCTCGGGGAGTTGTTATGAGATTGGGTGGTAGTTGGAATAAAAGGATAAACTTTAAAATAAGAAGAAAAGAGGTAAAATTTTGTTATTGAAAACATATTCTAACTATTTAGAATACTTCTTTATAAACAATTTTTTATTTTATTTTTCGGGATATTATATGTACAAATTTTTCGAATTTCCTACTCGAGAGCTGACTACGTATAGCTGAGAAAAGCAGGAGTCTTTGAGGTTAATGCCATAATGTTTTAAATTTTGTCCTTGCACCTTGTTAATTGTAAAACTATAAGCTAATTTAATTGGAAATTGTGGTCATTTAAACTGGTGTGACATATGCACGCCTCGGACTTCCAGGTGCTTAATGAGAACTACCTGTTTGTTCAGGAACAAAATGGACAGCAGGCCTTTTGTAGGAAGGTGCAGTGGAAACCCTCACCCGGTGTGGTTTCCGGGAGGGAACTAGGACTAATATTTTTTCCGATTTTAACAAAACGAGGGAGACTTGTGTAATAAGCTTTGAGTGTACGGAGTAGCAGACAGATGATCTCATCATCAGCGATGGCTGCTAACAGTGACGGACGTACGAGCTCTGAGCTCCGTAATGTCAATGCGAATGGTATCCTGAATACGGCGCCGCCAGCGGGCAATCAATCTTCTTCTCCACCACCTTTGATGATTCAAACTGAAATGGAAATATCTGCAACTACTCCACCTGCCTCTCCTTCAGCGCTAGAGCTATCTAAGAGCGCTATCCAGATTTACCAACTCAAAAATCGGCATACAGACCTCCTTTTCGATATCCAGCGTCTTCAACGAACAGAGACACCGAATAAGGAACTAATGATCAAGCAGTTACAGGATGAGGGTGAGAAAGTTTTATTTTCCTTACATACCCTCTGCTCTAAACTCGGCATAAATTTATTCACCCTCCCGGCCACCGAAGAGGAATTCTTCAAAGAATGCAAAAAGACTTCTAAAACCCCTGATTCGGATCCCAAAACTCAAAATTCTAACGCCAAAACTCAAAATTCAAATCCACCCTCATCCTCAGCCAATCAAAATCCTCCAAAAGAAAATCCCAAAAATGATTCAAAAAAACGAACCAGACCAACTGATAATGAAGGATTTGCAGTTCCTCCTAAACATTTAATTGCCAAAAAACCACTTCCCAACACTAATAATAATGAAAACATTACAACATCCAATTCTTTCACAAACATACAAAACTCTGATAACACTGAACACTCGACGCAGCAGCCGGCTGTCACTCAAACACCAAAAATTCAAGCACCACCTCCAATTTTCATAAAACCGCGAGCTGATTGGTTCTTTCTCCTCAATCAGTTACGCCGACATGCACCAACTGTTCTTTCCAAACAAAACATAGATTTTCTTAAACTCACCACCACTAATGAAACAGACTATAGAACAGTTGTTAGATTCCTCACAGACAATAATATTGAATTCAAGTCCACACACTCAAATCAGATAGACCACTTAAAGTGGTCATTAGGGGATTACCCTCAAATACACCCGCTCAACGTTGTGCAGACTGCGGTTGAAGTGCTTGGCTTCAAAATTCACAAGATCTCTCAACTAAAGAAATGGAAGACCAAAATGCCAATGCCTCTCTTTTATTTACAAATCTTCAATAGCCTCAAAGCCGAAGAAATCTATTCAATAACTGAACTCCTTGGAACTGAAGTATCCATGAAGCACTTCAAAGGACAGAAGGGTCCCTCCCAATGCTGGCGTTGTCAGGGATTTTTTCATTCATCTGAAGTTTGCACCCTACCAAGACGATGCGTCAGATGCGCTGGGCCGCATCAAGCCAAAGAATGCACTAAACCCTTTGAAGAGCCGAACAAATGTGCAAATTGTTCGGGAAACCATGCTGCTAACTGGCGTTCCTGCCCGAAGTTCCCAGGCTCCAAAAACAGACAACCTCCAAAGCCAAGCACCAAACCCAGTCAGACCGTTGACAACACAAACAAATTTAACTTACAACATAATACATTTCCAGTTCTGCCGGCTGCACACACTCCCAGTGCAAATAATACTCGCCCTGGAGTATCATACTCTGCTGCCCTTACGGGTATGCAACAGACTGCACCCCAAATTCTTCCAAATTTATCGGTCCCCTTAGGAGCAAATTCGACTCTAAATTGTACCGAAATCCTTTTGGCTATAATCCAAATTTCAAACCAGCCTGGTATTGACCAGAGCAAATTACTTTCTGGCATTCAAAAACGCCTTACCGCAGCTCAGAGTGGCTCCATCTGGTGCTGACGCGGCCTACTACATCTTTGAGAGTTATATTACTCTCCAATTCTCTGATTCCCACATTCATTAAAATTCAATACTTTGAAAGGGTTGAAAAATCTTAAAACTATGCACCTGGAATGCAAATGGCATTCTTTCCAAATTCCATGAGTTTAGAGACTATGTAGAAGAGAAGGATTTTGATATCATTTTTGTCCAAGAGACCAAACTCCAGCCAGGGAGAGCTCCCAAGCTTGTAAATTATGCACTATATAAAAATGACAGACAAGCTTCAAATACACGTGATGTTTATCATGGTGGCACTTGTATTTACATAAAAAATTCAATCCCGCATCGTAGAATTGACACACCAAATATGAGCAAACTTGAAGCAACAATCATCGAAATTTTTATTCAAAATTCACCATCCCTAGTTATGATCTCTGCCTATCTCCCACCAGGTGGAAATTTTCCTGTGGTAGATTTCAACAAACTGCTCAATTTTTCAAATAATCTTATCATAGCTGGTGATTTAAATTGTCACCATCAGCATTGGCGTTGTCATAGATCAAACCCTGCTGGTCGTGGCCTTCTAAAATGGGCTCAGTGCGCCCAAATTAAAATTATTGCGCCGGATTCCCCTACTAGATATGGTTCACGGGGTGCCTCTTTCGAAACATCCCTTTTGGATATCACGTGACTGTTGAAAACTGTTTATCTTCAGATCACAACCCCGTAATCATAGACCTTAACTGTACTACTTTTAATCAAAATTCTCCGGCACTCGTCTCTACAAACTGGGACAATTTTGGTTTCAAACTTAAAAGTAAAGATTTGCCACTCCCTTGAAATTAAATCCAGCCATGATATAGACTCGGCAGTTGATCACTTAACGACCATTTTAACAGATACTTATAAGGAAGTATCAAAACCCACCCTCAGACCCAATTTTCGTAAATTACCTCAAGAAATTAAACTCAAAATTAAAGAAAAGAATAAAGTACGGAGACTTTGGCAAAGAAATAGAAATCCTGGTTTAAAAATTCAACTCCGTGCTCTCCAAAATGAGATCAAGGCATCATGTGACCATTTCTTCCAATCACAATACACGAATTACATTCAGTCCCTAACGACCAATGATAACAGTCTTTGGCGCGCATCAGCCCGCCTACGCAAACACAAATCTAACATTCCGTCCTTAGCTACGGACGCAGTGGTGGCTCACACAGACGCTGAGAAATCCGAATTAATTGCGGATTCTCTTCAAACTCAATTTACACCACATAATGAAGGAATTTTTGCGAACAGCGCAAGTTCTTTCCCACAAGATGTTGAACGTTTCCTCTCTCCTCGCCTTTTCGCGAGAGAAATACAATATACATCCATGAGCGAGGTAAGTGAATACATTACCAAGCTCAAACCCAAAAAAGCCCCTGGTATGGACTCTATTTCTAATCGTATGATTAAAAATTTACCCACCAATTATCTATTTTTCTTAGTAATGCTTATAAATTTTATGATACAGCATTGCTATTTTCCTCAAAGCTGGAAACAAGCACTTATTGTGCCTATTCCAAAACCAGGCCAAAGCCTTTCTAATCCTCAAAATTATAGACCTATCAGCCTCCTATCCTCGTTATCTAAGATATACGAGTTTGTGTTACTTAAACGCCTGAATGATTTTCTCCGAAATCACAACGTTCTGATTGATGAACAATTTGGATTTCGAGCAAAACACTGCACCACGCACCAGCTGCTGAGGACAGTGGAGTTCATTCACGAAGGGTTTCGTAACAAAATGCTTACTGGCGCTTTATTTCTTGACATAGCCAAAGCATTTGATAG